CGAAATCTGGCAGCCTTGTTGGTGATACCCCTCACCTGAGGTTCTTGCCTGCCCGAATCCTTCACATTGATATCCATTTCCTAGATCTAGCCTTTACAGTAGTACTATCGAAGATTCATGTTATCTCTCTGCTCAGAATTTCAAGTGGGCTCTGGCTTCCCAGTTCTATGAATTTACACAGCCTAAGGATTTATTTTAGGTTTGCACTGCCTGGTACTGGTTTGCATTTCTCTATATAACAGGTTACACAGATGCTCCAGACCTGCCAGTCATACTGGTATGACTATAGTTACAGGTATCCTATCCCAACTGATCGACAGAATGCTGTCGCCATAATACCGTTTATATATTATATAAGTGATTATCCAAATTTTGCCGTTGGTGAGTTTTGAACTCACAACTTACCACTTGGGGATATGACAACTTATCTACTTCACTAAGTCGCCACACCCATATGAATCTGTTATTAGTTATTAAGATAATTAAGATATACAAAAATTAATAAAATTTAATATATTATAATAGATTATTTGAATTATATTTATAATCAGTAATTAAAGTTTAATAATTTTTTTATTTTATAAAAAAAATATATATCTATTAAATAAAAAAAATATATTTATTTTAAATTAATAATTATTGTAAAGGATTAATATGAGACCAGATTCAATTTGAGATAATTAGATAGTTTTTAATTAATGATTATAAATTAGCAAATTAGCATTATTATTTCAAGTTGGACCTAATCTTATGTTAGTTTTTTACAATTATTAAGAAAATTAGATTGAAAGATTAAATTATAAAAATTTTGTTTTTATTAATTTTTTAATTAATTATTATTTAAAATTATATAAAACTTATATAGTAAATAAAAAATCTTTTTTTTATAAAATAATAAAATATTATTAAAATTAGATTAATAGTTATTAAAATATTTGCATAAAAATATAACCATTTATTAAATTTATTAAAATTCTAAAAATAAAGTTAAATAACTTGCTAATTATGCAAATATATGATCTAAAAATAATATAACATTATTATCAAGAAATAAGAATTAATATAAAATCATTAAAGACATAGGTTAATTAGTAAGTTTTGAAATTATAAACCAAGTCCTTAGATATAAAAATATTTTTGTTACCTCTCTGTATTTCTAGAAAGACTTTTTTTATTTTCTTATAAAACTTGTTTATTTTAACTAAGTATGCTATTGCTACTGATGTTCTATTGTATAAAACTAGTTTAAACTATAAAATTACTTTTTATTATCATAGTATTTTTTTTAGAATAGGAATCTTTTTTGTTATATACAATAAGTTTTTTTATATTAAAGTTTTAATAAACTTAATTTTTTTGTATTTATAAACTTCAATAATAAAAATTCTATATTTTTTCAGAACTAAAAAAGATACTCTATTTTGTTATTATTTTTAACATTAAAAGAGTTCTAATTTAAGTTAATTTTGTTTTTTCTAAATTACTCTTATCCTGATTACAAGTAATTAAAAAAGAGAACCATTAATTCTAAATATTTTTTTAAATTAAAACTATAATTAAAAATTATATTTTAGTACTTTTATTTTTAAATTATTAAAAATATAGTAATTTAAAGTAGTAGATAAGTTGTTAAATTTTAAATAGCAGATTTAGTGTGCAAATTTTCTTACAATAAAATTTATATTATAGTAAACTGTTTCTTAATAATTAATTAAATTGGTGTATTTGTAATTTTAAGTTGCACTATTTTGAATAAGACTTAAATATCTATATAAAGTATAATATTATATATATATAAAGAAATGAATTTTTTTTTAATGAGTAATTAATTGCTTAATCAAATTAGCAATTTTTATTAGTTAGTGATATTTTAAGTATATATATAGTTCATAAAAATATAGCTAATTATATATATAACTTTAGTTATTGTTTATTTAAAATTTTTATTCTAAGGTTACTCACTATTTGCTATATTTGATATTTACTTGTAAGTGCTCAATTTAAATTTTTTATTTATCTAATTAGTATTTATATAACTTTAACTATTTTATACTAAGACTGAACAATCTTGTTGCTGCCTTCTATTAAAAATTATTTAAAGTTAACTTTATTTCTTTTTATATTAATACTTAGACTATAGCAAAGCTTATTATCTGGCAGTAAGATACAGAATACTTCTTAGTTAATTTTATTTATCTTTTCTATAAACTTTAACAGAACTGTACTTTTATGAAGTTTATTTAAATTCTAGTATTACTTTATAGCATATTTCTAGTATACCTTGCTTCTGCTTTCAGATTACTAATCCAAATAACCTATATAGAACTATAATTAGTCTATTAGTATATCAGATCAACTCAATATTTTTTTTCTTCAGTTCTTTTAATTTGAATTCCAGTAGTTTGGTTGATGGTATCTTTTACTTAAAAGTTCTTATTCATTCAGTTTTTTATTATATTGCTATTTGTTTTTTAAGTTTAACCTTTACAATAATATTATTAAAAATTTATATTATCATTTTACTTAAATTTTCTCAAATAAGATTCTTGTTTTTCAATTTACCAAATTTATATAGTGATAAGAACTTATTTTAGATTTATATTACCTAATACTAGTTTGCATTCTTCTGTATAATCAGTTATACAAATAATTCATAATCTGCTAATCATATTAGTATAACTATTATTACAGATATTTTAATATAATTATTAGAAATAATTGTTATAAAATAGATAAAAATCTAAAAATTATTATTAGTAGATTTGAACTTCTAATCTGTTATTTAAAAAGATAACAACTTGTTTACTTTACTAAGTTATCATATCCTTTTATAAAAAAATATTAAAATTAGTATTATATAAAATTTTGATATAAATTTATAATAAAACTACTAAATATAGTAAACAAAGAAACTAAAAATTCAAAAACTTATTTTAAAATTTATAAATAATGAGATAGTATGAACTTTTTATAATACTGATTAACCAATAAAGTTATAAAATACTTTTTAGAGATATAAGCAAATAAACTAAATAACAAATATATAAAAAAAACATATATATTAACTAAGTTATTAAATTTATCAAAAAAAAATACAAAAGTATATTATATTAGACCATCTAAATTGATAATTTAAAAAATTTTATTAGTTTTGAATAAAAAAAGTTTAGTAAAAATAATATATTATAAAAATAAATATTAAAGTTTTAATAAACTTTATAAAAATAAAAAATAATATAATATAACAGTTTAACAGATAATATTTATGATTACAAGTATTAGTCTGATTATACTATGTTGTATAAAATTAAGTTAGCTGCATATAAAATACAAAAGATTTTAGTAAAGTTTTTGTTAAAAATAAAGTAGTTTTAAAAGTAATAATATGCATTAAGTATTTTGAATAAATGTAAACTAGAAGATGTTTTTGTAAAACAAGATAAATTATATATAAGTTTAAATAAGTAAGGCTCATAGTTAACTTACAGATATAACTTCTAGTATAAAACTTGTATAATACTAATATAACATCTAGTATAATACTAATATAATCTATTATATATTTTTATATTAAATTTAACAAATATATATCTGTGAATTTTACTATTAAATATAGTATTCAATAGATAATGAATTACATTCTTATTGTATAGTAATGTATAAATAAATTACTTAAATTAGACATCAAAAATACATGTATGACTAGTTATAATCTTTTATGTAAAGAAATCCTTAGAGCATTTGTGTTTTACAAATTTGAATAAAAATATTACTTTCTAAAAACAAAAACTTTAACTTAAATTTTTTTTAAATTATTAAAAAAAATTATGACTTATAAACTAAAAAAATGTATAATTTTATAAAATTGAAAAAAAGACAAGCATTAACCCAAACTTGAATTTTTTTGTATACTACGTATTAATACAGGTTATACGTATAAATATGGTAATACCAAAAAATTATTTTGTGAGTGTCTTAGAGCAGTGTTACAACTGTTCAAAAACTGTCCAAAAACCATTACTACCTCGACAATCACGTGATATTATACCATCTAATAATAATGGAACTTTTTTTGAGATATTATGTAATGCTTGTTTAAATTGACCCTCTTTCTCCAACTACGCTTAAGCTTCGAAGAGAAAGTTACCAAAATTATAACTTCAAACGGCCTTATAAAAAGTCTAAGAAGTGAACGAACCAAAAAGATTTCACATAATAAATCTTTTAAATACAGTAAATAAAGATATTTAGACTAAGAATATATATGATAATAGGCTCTATTTTTGTATTAATGTATAATTATAGGTCCATATTTGCTATAAAACATAGATAGTTACGTATAATAATATATTTGCGTTTATTTTCTCTTTAGATATTTTGTCACGTATTCAGTTACATGGCAAATGAACTTTTAGTTTGTATGTTGTATTATGATTTGGATAACGATAAGTCCGGAGCAAAGTAAAATTTATATTGCTACATAAAGTAATAAAAAATTTGTTTCTCTGTTACTTGTAATAATAATATCTTAGGTCGTTGGGTATTAGTGGATTGATCTCAGACAGTGATAACGGAAATACATGACTGATACTGGTCGGCCGCGTAAGCGGCCGATTAGTATCAGTCATGTATTTCCGTTATCACTGTCTGAGATCAATCCACTAATTACACAGTGATCCAAGATATTTAATACCATAATTAACTAATAAAATCTTATTGGGCATTGTATAGGGAATTAAGTGTTCCACACCCTTTTTCGATATTGACAATTAGCAAGGGTGTAGCAATATCAAAAAAGGGTGGTAATATCAATTTCCATTGTATATTATATAAATAAACTTTGCGTAGTTATAAATATAGACATGAAAATATATTGTAGATATTTGAAGGTTGTTATTTATTAATTCGACAGTTTGTAATTTAAATGTCACGTTTTATTAATTATGACAGATAATTTGTATATTCATGCATATTAAACTACATGGTTGTATATTCATTACTTAAATTATATATTGAATTAAAACTTCAGAAACGAGAACGAGGGACTCCAATTCTTCCCCCGAATCTTCCCCCGAATCTTCCTCCACGTCTTCCTCCGAATCTTCCTCCGAATCTTCCATATCTTCCTCTGTAGCCTTCTCTGTAACCCTCTCTGTAACCACGGTACGATCCTCGACGCCCACCATAACGTCCTCCAAAACGTCCTCCATAACCTCCTCCAAAACGTCCTCCATAACGTCCTCCAAATTGAGATGGTTTAATCTCAAGATCTTCTTTGTGAGTTTCTTCATCTACGTTATTATTCCTGGGTAATATAAGATTTCTATTTAAGTTTTAGGTCGCATCTAAAGAGACTTCTAGAATGAAAAAAAAACAAGACTTACTCAACATCACTCGAGAGATAAGTTTCAGAATCCACATAACTACTTTCATCAGAAATGTCAGTAGAATCAGGATTAGATTCTAATTCATTATCGGCAGAAATAGCATTGCTAGGGTTAAAGGCTGAAACATAAACAATGAAGACGATTCCAAAGAGTATAAATAAAGGAAATTTGAAAAAATGCATAATAGGCGTTTTGTTTTATAATGGTTGTTCACCAATTAGATGGTTGTGAGTAACGCGTAAAATGAGAAAGAGGGTTTATATAACTTTTTTGAGCAATAATGGTAGATTATCTTGTTCGAGAATTTATTTGATTTAAAAAAAAAAAAGAAGGAAAAAGTGTTTTAATGCAGCAAATGATTGAGTGTTAGCGTTATCACTCGAGCTAAAGTTCTGATAAATGCAATAGCTTATCAATAGTATGTGCAAATAATCAATCGTTGATAAATCCTGGTATTATAATATTCAATTTGAATGATAAAGTTGCATCATTATTTAAAAAAAATGAATGTGAAAGTCATAATAGTTTCTGAAAGGAAATATCAATTTTAAATATATAGCACCTAAAAATGAATAGGTGGTTTGCTTAATATTTGATTGAAAATGACAAAAAATAATTTGATTCTTTAATAACAGAACGAAAGTCTTTCTATTTTGAGTTATAAAGATTTAAACTGGACTTGTAATCTTGATCCCTTATAAATATAAAATGCTAAACATGTACGGTGAGTTTTGGATTATTTTTTTTGAGTTATGAGTAACAAAAATGTGGTTTAACTTCACACAGAGTTAGATTAGTTGACAAATCACGTAATTGAGACTCATTGAAGACATTAACGAACTGTCAGCGATTGTTTGATCACGAATTACGTGACTACGAGCGAGATCAAGGTTCTACTTCATAGTAAAAGGTTAACTTAATTTATTGTTGTTGCTGATACTGATTTTTGCTGATGCCTGTTTTTATGTAAAGCCTCAATTCGTGAGGATTAGGACCGCTTAATTACTTGAAAATGTCAGTTTCAAACCGAATGATGTTGGTCACGGTTCCGAATTATTTCAATGCTGACTGAACTAGGAACAATAATCTTCGTGATACTGTGGTGACCGGAGAATTAAATGGTTAACACAGTTAAGCGGTTAGCCAATTAGAAAATTTTAGGCGGTTCCATTCCTATCATCGTATGCCGATACACTTTGTTTAACAATTCTGACTCTAAAAAAAGTGTATCCAAAAATAATCGTTAGAAATATTGGGCCTAAAAATCATTGACATTTGTTATTAATTAAAATTCTTATTTGACCTTATTTTTCAGTCTAGTTTTGCTAGAGATCATATGTAAATCGTAATAAAAGCTAATACGTATTATAAATTATTTATATATTAAAAATTTAGTTCTTTATAATTTGTTCATTAAAAAGAATAAAAAAAAACTTTTTTCTGAAAATCCCAATTTTATAGCAAAATTGGGAAAACAAAAAAAATTTTTGAAAAGTTGAAATAAAATAGACCTTAGCTAATTAACTAAATACCTAATACTAACAAACAACATAGCATAAACCTTAAACAAAGTTACAAGAAAGTCTTCTGTACTCCTGTCTTCTTATCTTTGTTGCCAACTAAGTTGACAACTGAAACTTGTAATAAAAGAGATAACAATAAGTTCAAAAAAAAACATCATAACCAACATATACAGATACTATTTATTCAAGAAACTATGGATAAACAAAACAACAAGAAGAAATGCAAAACTAATAGCAAAATTGTTATCCTTATATAAATGAGTAATAGAAAAAATACTAATGAAAAAAAACTAAAAAAAAGTGATAATTCTAGCATATCTTCAAAAAATTTAGTCATGACATCATTATGCATAATAACAATCACAATCCCAAATCTTCCCATAAACAACCAAACTGATCAGAACCTGATCCAAAATCTAAAATTTCAGATGTCACCTTCCCATCATCAATATAGATAGAAAAAACAAATAACTCAGTCTTATCTAATCAAATGCTCCAATTCAATCTTGATGTTAGCATCATAGAACAACAATCTAATATGGAAATAAAACATACATCAACAAACATAGAGGATGACAACAATAAAAAAACCTAATCAACTGATACAATATGCAAGGAACAGACATAAAAAAAAAATCATATAGTCAAGTACTAGTTAAAAACCTTTTAAAAAAGTTCAGAAAAACTCTAAATCCTTATTTTAAAGTTGATAAAGAAAAGGAATAGAAAACACATATGTAGGCAGCTTTAGAAAAAATCAGATAAGAAAAATTAAAACCTTTTGATACAATAATTTGGACATGACAAAAAACCAAAAATACATTAATCTCATTTCAAAACTTAAAAGAATTAATTAGATATAAACTATTAACAAAACCAACTATCATCTATATTCTAATAGCAATAAAAACAAAATTCTTTCATAGAAATACAGTCTTTTTTCAAAGCTTTATTTGAGTTCTAACAATTAGAGCATAACATCAGAATGAATTTAATAGTCTATTTTCTAATACTTTGAATACATATAAAAAACAACATGATGTATTGGTTACTAATAAGAAAAACTGAGATCAAATCTTTGAATTATTATACACAAAGCTAGCACTAGATTATCTAACCAATCTAAATCTCAACCTCTTAGATGATTGAGAAATCACTAAATATATTTCTACTTAATAGGTTTTGCAAAAATTTAACAGAACTTAGACTTTGAAACTATAAGAAAGGCAATCTTAGAACTAATAAATGAAATACTAACTCTTTTGTCAAATAGTTCAGAGCTTATTACAGAATACTTGTTACAAGCTATTCCTTTTGACTTACCTATTACAAGCTGATCGATTCTTATACTAGCAGTTATAACATTGCAACTAAAATTTTTCTTTAATAAGCTATTAGATAAATATATTGCAGACAACTAAGAGCCTTTATCAGCCTTATACAAAGATTTAAAAACTAAAATACAACATCTCTTCTTTATCATAAAAGAATCAAATTAAAAAAATTAACTTATTATAGAGAAATCTTATAAAAATATTATATTTTTTAGCAAATTCTAGCTAAATACTTTGATTTATCAGCACCAAAACATCCTTTGTCCTCTACTCTATAAGACTTGACATCTAAATTAAGAGAGAAATTTTCTTTCTTATCTGAAAGTCAAGAAAATTTTAAAAAACATGTTAGATTATTATGCATAGACTATTCATTTACAAGATTATCTAATAATTACATTATCTCTCAAAAACAACTACCTTTAGATCTAGCAAATTTAAAAATGTCCAGTTTTATATTTCTCTTACAAAACACAGAAGAAATGGATACTTTTAAAAAAAGTGTTTTATAAATTTACAATATTTCAATATTACTATCATAAGCTTACTACAACTTTAATTATACAGATCTTTTAGATCTGCCTAAAGATGCCAAATTAATCATTCTGGTTAATCTAACTTTGCCAATATCAATCTCTAAAGAGCTAAATATAGTAGTCAAAGCATTATAAGAGCATTTTTACTTTCATGCCATATCCCAATTTTGAATTTAAATAGAAAGAAAAAAAGACAACTAGAGATTGGATCAACTCTATCCAAATTATTATTAACAATTAAACAATTTTATTTGGCTTTTATATAGAAATAAATTATGAATATATATATTCTTATATGAAAACATTACAATATTCAATTAGTTATGGAAACTCTTAGACAAAAGTTTGCTTATCATTTATTATCAGAATACATCTTTGATCTTATAAACTTATCTAAACCATCTTTTAAAATTTTTGACTTATCAAAACAAATAACAATTGTATATACACAAATGTTAGATAAGAAATAAGACAATAATATAGATTACCAATAAGTACAAGTTTTTATATAAACAATCTGCCTTTAGCAGATAATGAGAATAAAACAAAAAAAATTAAGCTAAATCTAAATGAAAAAATTAATATAGCTATATATAATATTAAAGACATTAATAATATATTAAAAATGTAAAACTGAATTGAACACTGTATAGAATCAGATTTATATATAATCTCTATTACTAAAACCAAATTGAAAGACTTAGCAACAAAATTCTATACAAATCCTTTTTATTTTTATTTTTTTGGTATTAAGGTGACCTCTTTGGTCTTTTGACTTTTATTAATCACTTATCGGTATTGTG